GTCTTCACCTGCAAGACTGCCCTGCCCAGAACTGAAGGGGTGAAAAAAATTATTGTAGTCTGGACTGCCCATGAGCTATAAAAGAAGAGGGATTTCATAAGCAAAGTAGAAAATTTTAAATGTCATATCTATTCCATGAGAATGAGCTCCGTCCCACTTAGCACTGATGCCCATATGTAAAGTAAAATCCTGAACTAGCAGTGAGACTGGAGACTAGTGCGGAGATGAACTAGTCCCAGAGTGGGAGAGATGGGGTGCTCAAAAGTGCTACAGAAATCCCGGAAGAGGTCAAAGCCAGGGAAAAAGCCTCAAAGAAGCCCTCCTTCCTTGGATCTAGAAGCCAATGGTTTCTGTGGCCATGATGGCATCACCCATTTCAACTGGAGGAAAGGAGAAGAGGATGTAAAAGTGGGAGAAATAATGTAGCATCCCTACCTTCTTCTCCACCTGGGGCTCCACTCCAGATCAGAGCTGGCCTTATGCAGACACACAGTAAGCAATCAAACACATGATGTGATCCCAGCAGAGACACGGATGAGTAGCAGGTGCTCAGAGGACATCTGTTGAATGAGGAGCCCCAGGAGAGGCTTCCCTACCCAAGAGAATTTTTCTCACTGTCACATTACCTTCACCTAGAATTCCTTCATTTGACATCCACTGGTTTGGGATAAAGCCTTGTACTTTCTGAAACTGTGCCCCACCAAACACCACATTCTGCCAGATTTTAACAAACATTCCTTCAGTCAAAGAAAAAAAAAGGTTCTTTAGTTAAGTCAGTCTAGAAAATGCTGTATTCTCTATCTCCCTTTTTGAGCTTTATAAATGCATATTAAAAGCTCTTCCTGAGGCAGAGGCAGCTGGAGAGTTAACATGAAACTCAGGACAAGGGCTTGGCCACGCCTAAGAGCTTTGTTCCAAAAGCACAGCTAAACAGACCAGCAAGACGTCCAATCAGCCCAAAGAGCAGCAGACAAAGTTCAGAGTAGTCAACACGAGGAGATCAGTGCATGGGCAGAACTCTACCTGCCAAAGCCTACCCGTAAGAAAAGGAGAAGGGACCCGGCCTGAAAGAGGCTGGAAAGCAAAGGCCACAGTCCCTGCGTTATAGTCCTGGACAGGGCTCCTCCGGGGAAAAGCCAAATTACAGGTCAAATGGAAGAGAGGCAGACACTAGTACACCAAACCTGTCACTCAGGGCATACGCCCAGGAGTCCCTCCCTAGGGGGGCACTGGCTTCAAAAGTCTCATAGTCAAAAAAAAAAAAAATTCTCATGGTCAGCAGATCCAACTACGACTAGATCTTGCATGTGAGGCTGAGGTGGTTGGAGAGAGAGGTAGACGTGTGATATAACCAGAAATTTCCAAAAAGTTGTGCTGATTCCAGTAAGGAACATGATCCATACTATATCAAACTTTAGAAGGTGAAGGGTGGAGACCACTCTTGAGGCGGTCCTCTAGGGAAATGTGCCAAAAGAAGTAAGAACCTCAGAGGCCTGAATGAAGCCAAAAGTCTGATCCAAAGAAAATGCTCTGGAAATGTGAGTAGAAATGTGGATAGAGTAAAGTTGAAGCCTGAGAGTGAATGGCATCCATGAATTCAATTGTGAAGAGTTGAGAAAAACACTGAGATTTTGAGCTGTCTGTCAGACTCCCTGGGATGTGTGGATTCCAATTACAAAGGCATTTTGCGAGCCTTTGTAAATGGTACATGAAAAATGAACAGTCAACCAGGAGTGAATTCAATCCAAAACAGTTAAAGATGTGACTCATAGGTGCTATGCTGGCATCTCTGACTTAGTTATTTTGGCTCCACAAGTCAGTGAACAAGGGGGAACTGCACCTTTGTACTGACACCCCAAATGCTTTGTCACTGCTTTGGACGTGGCTTATTTTACTTCCTGGTAAAGCCCGATCTCAGCACAGCTCATTGGGAAATCAAGACCAGAATCTGTCTATGACCAGCGGCCACAGAGGAAGCGCCCTACCCATGTCATCATCAGTGGCTTCTTTTGCACCACCATTTTACACCATTTCTGGGAAGCTGCTTCCTGCTTCCTAAGATCTGTGATGGCCTTGTCTGAGGACATCAGAGAAAACCACAGACTCAAAGGCCCTACACTCCTTGTCACATTCTGCTCGCCAGCTGTTCTCCAGACAACACCATGACTGCACAGCCAGCATACTGGTGGGGAAAGCTCAAACCCAGCCCCTCCTTGAGCACGAGAGCCTCCATTCTCCCCACTCTCAGCATCTTGTCTTTCCTCAGGCAAAACTGTAAAGAACACAAAATGGTTCTTGGGGACCCAACTTCTCCTTTCAGGGCCTTCATCTCAATCTCAATTGTGAACCCTTCCCATCACTATGACTAGGGGCACAATGCTTTCTCCCCTCTGTCCCTGCCGTAGTCTAGTTCTCAGAAATCAATCTTAAGAACTCATTCATACTTCCACTTACATGACCAAGATGTTTCATAATCAAACCCTTTCCTGGAGTCTTTTCATTTTTAATAGGATCTCAAAAACCTTACATCAAGGGGAAAAAATGTCACTGGTAGAATTCCAAGCAATAACAAATAGCTGAGAAAAGTCTTTGAGGGGCAAGATGTATTCTTGGTGCCCCCTGAAATTATATCACTTGACAGACCAGCCCTGTCTCTTCTTATTTCATCACCTGACACTAAAGCTGTCTCCTCTGCCAGCCCAGAGGCCAGGCTCCCCTGGATCTGGGCCAACACTCACCGCCATCTGGTCTCCCTTGGAAAGGCAAAAGAGAGACACCTCTTGTTTACTCAGTAATAATTCACTGTAATAGTCATGTAACAGGTGCCACCAGCTCCCAATACATGCAGTAAGGCAACACCACACCCTCATCTCTGCCGCCATCATGGCTTATTCCCTAGAACACATCAACAGATTTTTTTTGGATGATAGCAAGGCCCTCTTAAACTGTACACCAGAGTTACCAGTGGTGTTTTGACAGTGTAAGTTATACTACAATGAAGACCTAAACATAAAGAACAAAGGCTTTTTTTAATCCTTCCCTACAGTCAACTGGTGACTTTCCCACATAAGTTGCTGCAGCACATCTATATACAGAACCTAGTCCTATTCTACAAACAGGGTACTCTGGCTAAACACGTCTAAACAAGCAGAACTGTGAAGTAAAGAAAGGTGGCATCTCCCCATCTTCTCTCCTTTCCCCACCCTCCTTTCTCAAATCTTGTCAGAGACAGAAGAGCTCTATGAAAATAGCATGGGCTTTGGAACTGGACAGACCTGAGGAGAATAAATCCTAACTCAGCCTTTTATTAGCTGTCTGACCTTGGGCAAGTTACCTAACTTCTTTGACTTTCAGTTTGCCCATGTGCAAAAATGGAGATAATATTTCACTGATTTGCATTATGATAACTAAATGAGAAAATACACAAAAACATCTAATTTACATATGGCTCTCCAGAGATACATTTGTTCTTCCCAATCTGGCTCAGTACGTACCTGGTCCCTTCATGTTCCTTTCTGGTTGTCCAAGGTGTGTGCCCCACACAAACTTTCCCTTCCTTTTCCTAAACCCCATCAAAGTTTCCATTCCTCACAAGAGCTGATCTAAATCACACTGCTAAAAGGAAAGCAATTCTGATAAAATGAAGTCAAGTAAAACATGGATGATAGTGCTGGGGTTCCTATATTAACTCTGTGGGGGATGTTTCTTCATTTAAAAAAAAGTAGGGACATGGAAATTCAAATGAAAAGGAGGACTTCTAATAATGAGACTCTCCTAGAGGACAGGAAACCAGAGTGTTGGCCTCTTTCCCTGAAAGCACAAACTCTGTGCTAGGGATGAGAAACCTTAGAGCTACAGAACACCATCTCAGATTGCTGAACGTCACACCTCACATCAACAGGTCCAGAATAGAACTTGGGAGCCCTGGCTACTCCTTCTGCTCTGGCCAGCACATACTACTTCCTTAGCCAAGAAGTTACGGAGGAGCTTTTTTTCCTAGGAGGTTTCCAACGCTATTTTAAACTCTACAGAATCAAGGAGTAACAGGATGTGATTACAATTATAGCCTTGAAACAGCCTATTTGAGGCCTGAGCTCCACTTCCAAATGGTCTCAACAAGGCCCATATTAATACAGGGGCAAGGTGGGCCTGCACCTTGACTTCTTTCTCAGTGATCTAGGAAGGAAGAACAAAGGGAAATTTCCAGACTTTCCACATCCAGAATCTTGAAAGCAGATTACATTTCATTTATTACAGATACCAGTTCAGTTCAGTCACTCAGTCGTGTCCAACTCCTTGCGACCCCATGAACCACAGCACACCAAGCCTCCCTGTACATCACCAACTCCCAGACTCCACCCAAACCCATGTCCATCAAGTCGATGATGCCATCCAGCCATCTCATCCTCTGTCGTCCCCTTCTCTTCCTACCCTCAATCTTTCCCAGCACCAGGGTCTTTTCCAATGAGTCAGCTCTTCACATCAGGTGGGCAAAGTATTGGAGCTTTTTCAACATCAGTCCTTCCAATGAACACCCAGGACTGATCTCCTTTAGGATGGACTGGTTGGATCTCCTTGCAGTCCAAGAACTCTCACGAGTCTTCTCCAACACCACAGTTCAAAAGCATCAATTCTTCGGTGCTCAGCTTTCTTCCCAGTCCAACTCTCACATCCATACATGACCACTGGAAAAACCATAGCCTTGACCAGACGGACCTCTGTGGACAAAGTCATGTCTCTGCTTTTTAATACGCCGTCTAAGTTGGTCATAACTTTCCTTTCAAGGAGTAAGCGTCTTTCAATTTCATAGCTGCAATCACCATCTGCAGTGATTTTGGAGCCCAGAAAAATAAAGTCAGCCACTGTTTTCACTGTTTCCCCATCTATCTGCCATAAAGTGATGGGAGCAGATGCCATGGTCTTAGTTTTCTGAATGTTGAGCTTTAAGCCAATTTTTCACTCTCCTCTTTCACTTTCATCAAGAGGCTCTTTAGTTCCTCTTCACTTTCTGCCATAAGGGTGGTGTCATCTGCATATCTGAGGTTATTGATATATCTAATTTACTACAATGAAAAAGAGTCAAGTGTAATCACTTGGCACAGAATGCTAAGCTAAGGACCTCCCTGATAGTGCAATGGATAAGAATCTGCCTGCCAATGCAGGGAACATGAGTTCAATCCCTGGTCTGGGAAGATTCTACATGCCACAGAGCAACGAAGCCTGTGGACCACACCTTCTGAGCCATCGCTCTAGAGCCTGCAAGCCGCAACTACTGAAACCCATACACTCTAAGGCCTGTGAACTGCTACTACTGAGCCCGCAACTACTAAAGCCCTTGCACCTTTGTGCTCCACACAAAGAGAGACCACCACCACGAGAAGCCCAGGCACTGCAACAAAGAGACAGCCCACTCACCGCAACTACAGAAAGCCCACGTGCAGCAACAAAGACCCAGTGCAACCAAAAATAAAATAAATAGAACTTTTAAAATGCTATGCTGACTCTAAATCCCAATTCAGCATGGAAATTCTCACTGTGAAGAGCCCTGCAGCAGTGTACATGTTCTATGTGACTTTCTTGGCAAGGCCCCAGGGAACCCAGAGCACTAGCCCAGGCTGGACTCTCAGTGGTCTGGACACCACTGGGCGATGAAAAGGGCTGGCTGGCAGGTTCAGCAGATGGAATTATGAGGAAATGAAGGTGAAATTCAAAGCCAGGGAAGGGCTGGTTCAGGCAGTATTACCTGACAGCACACGCTCAGGGAACTGGGAAAGCAGAAACAACAATAACGAATGTTTTAAATTATTTTCTATTCATCCAGGTAGTCATTATGGTAAATATCAAAATTTTGCTGGATTTCCCTTATACTTTGTTAGACTTCCTTATGCTTATTTTGTGCTTAATATTGTTTCTGAAATACATACTCAGGGCTGAAATTATACGGATCATCATAATCTCCCAATGAACATGAATCTAAGCGAACTCCAAGAGAAAGTGAAAAGACAGGGAAGACTGGCATGCTGCAGTCCATGGGGTCCCAAAGATTAAGACATGACTTAGCAACTGAACAACAACAACAGTAACAACTATAATCTTCCCATTGCTTAGACCTCTAAAGTTCTAAATCTGGTGCCTGGCTTCAGTATGAAGCAAGAAAAAGCAGGATTCCAAAACTTTGTGGTCAATATTCACTCCTTCATTCAATAAATATTTCTTGATGGGCTAATAAGTGCCAAGTCTTTACTCAGTCCTCGGATACAGCAGCAAACAAAACAGATACACAGTCTAGTAAGAGGAGCTGAGAATAAGATTAGGATCCAAAGGAAAAGGTCTATATGAGAAAACAGGCAGGATTCTGTGGCCAGCACTGGGACAAAGGGAGGAACCCTCTTCTGGGATGCCAGCAGAAGAGACCACGGCAGACGAGGTGCTGTTCAGGGAGATGAGCTGGGTCAAACAATGCCCTTATCCTCCCATTCCTTTTATCAAGGCAGAGAGCCACTGCAGTGGGTCGACTTAATCAAGAACAAGTGACCAGGGTCCTCACAGTGCTACCAAGAAGCTGCTCCTTCTCTGCTCACGGCCATAGACTGTGAGACGTAGCATGTAAACTATGTGTGAGATCCTGAAAGCGCCAAAGAAAAACAAGACTTGAGCTGTCTACTGGCAGGGATTCTAGGAAATACAGCAGGCCACAAACGGGAAGCATAAAAACACTTGCCAGAAGAAGTTTGGTGACCCTCCCCTGACCTATCACTGATACTTCCCTGACATTGCAAGGAAATGAAAAGTCTGATTTCACCTGCAGGGGTACGGCCAGGAAGAGACCTGCTGAAATCATCAGGCTTCAACCAAAAGCCTCCTGAGAGGTAAGCATTTCTGCTTTACAGTGGGAAGAGGGCGAGGAGGGGGAAATGCCACAGCCTGCTATGTTACAGAAAGGAGCCCTCTGAGCAGCTCAGCCCCAGCACTACCATAAGCGGAAGGCTGTAGTGAAGGTGCAGAGCTGATAATAACAATAGCAAAAAATACAATGAATGCCCAGGGATCAAAGCAGTGGCCTAAAGAGATTTCTGAGTATTTGACCTCTCCAGGCCTCAGTTTCCTTATCTGAAAACAGAGATGACAGTAAGAGCATGCATTGGTTTCCTAGAGCTGTCGTAACAAATACTACAAACTGGGTGGCTTTAAACAACACAAATTTATCCTCTCACAGTTCTAGAGGCTAGAAGTCCAAAATATAGGTGTCAGCAGGGCCACACTCCCTCTAAAGGCTCTAGGGAAGTATCCTTCCTTGCCTCTTCCTGCTCCCAATAGATGCCAGTAAACCCTGCCTACATCTCAACATGGTTGTCTTCTGTCTGTGTCGTCTCCCACTTGTTGTAATAACACCAGGCACTGGATTATGGCCCAATCAAGTAATGACTTCATAACTTGATTATATCTTACAAAGACTTTATTTCCAAATAAAATCACATTCTGGGTGGATACAATTTTTAGGGGAACACCATATAACCCAGTACAGAGCACCTACCACATCAAGAATTTATAAATGTAAGGTGCTTAGAGCAGTTCCTGGTACATGCCATGTATGAGTTAGCCACCTTTTGTCATCATCTCTGGCAGATAGTAGCTGCCATGAAATACGTGGATGCTCTGTTGTGTATGAATCACCCTCCTTCCATTTTGAGTCAGAGGCAAGAAACTGGATGGGACGAGAGTTCCAAAAAGAGCAGATGAGGACAGAGCTAGAACATGATGGGTGTACTACCACTCAACAGCTCCTCAACTAATACCCTATCAATATACCTAGGCTGGAGGGAGGAAACACCTGCTACAGTTACATGTTTTTTGAATAGAACTTATCATTCCAAATTAATAATAGCCCTATCAAAGCAGTCTCCAAATAAGGATCCACTTAGGAGGAGCTTCCAGAGCCAGGAGAGATGCTACACCAGTGAGCCCAGCAGCTTCATCACATAGTCAACTGAATTCTGATCCCAAACTGCTTTATACAGCAAATTCATCCCAGAGTAATGCAGATCCGGGAACTTCCCTGGCAGTCCAGTGCTTAAGACTCTGTGCCTCTATTGCAAGGGGCATGGCTTCAACCCCTGGTCAGGCAACTGAGATCCCATGCATGGCATGTGGTGTGGCTGAAACGATATACAATGAACCAAAGTGAAACGAGCTGAAACAAAACAAAATAAAATGGAGGTTTGCTATTTGCTATAGCTAGGATACCTTACTTTCAAATTAGGGGAGGGGAGAATAGATAAAAGGCTCCTGTTCTTACTCCTTCAGTAAAGGGGTTTGGGACACTACTAAAAAGAAAACAGAGCCAGATCAACTACTATCTTCATATCAAAATAAACTGCAGACAGATCAAAGATTGAAAGATTTAAAAATACATATCCATACAAAGTACTCAAAGACAATAACTGTTTTTATAATTTTGAAGTTGGAAGAATGCCTTTTCTAAACTTGGTCTAGCAGCAAATATATTATAAGGGAAAAGATTATCTTTGACTACCTGAAAACGTCAAACTCTTACAAACAGATAAAAAAATGCACAAAGGTGAAAAATGAAAGACAAACTGGGAACAATATCTGCACCATATACAACTGTGAACACTTGAGCTCTTACAAATTATTTAAAAAAATACTAGTAGGAAAATGTGCAAAGGACATGACATGAATGAGTGATTTAAAAAACATATACATCTGCCCAAAAGATACTGGATTTGTATTTATAAAAGATGTTTAATCTTTAATATTCACAGAAATGTACACTAAATCATATTTATTGCCATGTCTCAGTTACTATTCAAAGCAATTTACTTGGACTAACTGATTTATTTCTCATGAAACAGGTGCCATCATTAACCCTACTTTACCAAAGATGAAAGGGGGACAGAGAAGTTAAATGACTTACCCAAGGTCATATAAGAAGTGGCTGAGTCAGAATTCAGTCCCCATCAGGTTAGCTCCAGAGTCACAGCCTCAATTACCACATTACAGTGACAAGATCACGTGTCATCTGTCAGGTGAGGAAAACAAAAAACACACAAGCCAGAGTTACTGATGATATGGAGAAACAGGCAATCCCATGCACCGCTGGTGTTAACATTCTTAAGTGTAGTTTGGCTCCATGAACCAACATTTTAACTGTGCATATCCTTTAACTCAGTCATTCCATTTCTTGAAATTTATCCGAAGAAGATACATCGACAAGAATATAAAGATTACGTACCAAAGTATTTTCTAAAGAATGTATATAATACCACAAATATTACAAATAAAAACCTCAATGGGCATACCAAAAATCCAACAAATTCATTCAACAAATATTTATTGAGCACCACCTGTATACCTGGAGCTGGTACTAAACTATAGGTACAGAAAAAGTAGATTAAAAAAAAAAATCCTTATTTTCATGGAGCCTACATTCTAATGAAGGGTGTTAGGCAATAAACAAGAAAAAAAAGTAGTATAGCATGTTGGGCTAAACGTTATAAAGAAAAGTAAAGGAGAGAAGGGAGAGGGTAAAGGAAGGGGGATTGTTACAACTTGAAGAGCATTAGGGAAGGCCCTGCTGATTAGAGATGAGATAAACAGATTAAATACTAAGTAATATGCACTATGGTATATCCACACGTGGAAATATAATTCAGCCATTAATTCTATGTTTACTGACATGAAAAGACGTCTATAACACACAATCCAACAAAAAAAGATTCTCACTATACACAAAAAATAGTTAACTATGTAAGGTAATGAATGTGTTAACCATATTGTGATAATCATATCAAATCATTGCACTGCACACCTTAAACATACACAATGTTATATGTCAATTACATCTCAATGAAACTAGGGAAAAAAAGGAGAAAAGGATTACAGAACAGTTTTAAAGAAGAAAAACAGTATTAAGGTATGGATCCATTCATGTGAAATTATTAATACATGTGGCAACATAGTTATGCCCTAAATGGGAAAGAAAACAACACAGAAAAAGGTTGATAATACAAGCAATGGTCTAGGCTGAGTGACAGATAAGTGGTACAGGCAGCATATGTTTGTTCTCCCACCTACTCATTCACCCTCCTCTGCACACCTACTCTTTGATCCAGAAAGGATTATAAGGACAGCAGATCCACAGAGTCCCACAAATTCATTATTTCTCCTTGTCCTCCTGCTCTTCCGAGAAGCCAGGACAGTGATAGTGTGAAAGGAATAAAAGCTTAAGATGAAGAAAAGCTGAGAGGTCATAACATGGATGGAGGGAAACCCCCAGAGATTCAGATTCCTCTACCTCAGCACACGGGAAACATCCCGGGAGGTGTATTTCCTCCCTGCAAATCTCTAGGATTTGAAGCAAGTCTATCTGATTTAGATTCTCTAGTCCAGCTCCTACTATACCCCAAATGCCTTGCAGGGCAGCCAAGAGCAAGACTGACTCATTCATAGGGCAGTAACAAGCCACAGTAGGCCAGAACACTGCCCCTGGCATACCAGTGCCCACATCTTCCTCGGAGCAGAAAATGACACAGAGCTGAGCCCTTTTTGCCCCCTACTTATCCCTCCCTCCATGCCTGGACCCAACAAGCTACCCTGGCTATGCTGTGACACCCTAGAGATAAAGACTTCCCCACTGAGATTCTCAGGCCAAGTTTCCACCATGAAAGCTGCCCGAGGTGACCAGCCATGCCAGTGTGATAGGAACATTTTCAGCTGGGATGCAGTTTCGAGTATATCCATAGGTCCAGATATTTTGCTCTCAAATATGTGGAAGCAGAATATACTTCTGGTTTGAGCATAAAGCCACAAATAAGAAACAGGCAACTTCCTAAAGGTGGAATCCATGTTGCTCTTCCCTATTTCTTTAGCCTGAGGGTAACCATGGAGGCACATGAATAGAGATAGGGGACTTAGGGAAAGATTTGACTATTTCAAAATATTTCTCAAACACTATCTGTCACCTCTTGGATACCTACTCTGTGCTAGGCCCTATGTTAACAGCTTTCATATACTTAAACCAAAAACGACAAATTACTTTTATCAAACATTCCTATTATATGCTACTAAATTTAGACACTTAAGGGACATACAGGCCCAACTACCGAGGTGATAGCTGAATATCCACACTTGAAATTAGGTTGAGAGTAAAAATCTGAGACTCTCCTCCAAGCTACAACACAGAAGAATCACTAGAATCACTATATTACTACTATCAGGCCACAGCCTCAAGGCCCCATTCCAGCTTCTGCTCCCTCTCCTGGGGTTTCAGAAGGTAACATCACACACACACACACACACATACACACACACACACACCCCTTAACATCACACACACACACAAACATACACACCTTAAACACATTTAGTCTGCAAGTGGAAGAAATTCTTCACTAGTGAAGAGTGTAAGGTGAATCAGAGAAAAACCAAAGCAATCATCTCTTCAGCAGAAGAGTCTCTTTCTCTCTTTATCTACCTCTCTCTAGTCTTTCCTGAATATGCAGTTATTGAGCAGCTTCTATTATGCTTATCGCTATAGGATATAATCATAAGACATGCCTCCTGCTTGCAAGAATTTACTCTATTTAGAAAGACAAAATCAACACACAAGAAACCTGTCATTGAAAAAGGCAACTCCAATGTATATGTAAAACTGAAGCAGACTGGCAGACACAGAAGACAAACTAGTGGTTACCAAAGAGGAGAGGGACAAATTAGGGGTTACAAACTACTATGCATAAAGCAGATAAGTAAAAAGGATACAGTGCATGGCACAAGGAATTACAGCCATTATAATAGCTATCTTAAAATGGAGTATAATCTGCAAAAATAATCACTATGCTGTACACCTGACATTATATAATATTGTAAATCAACTATACTTTAATAAAGAGGGGAGGAGCACTAAGATTTCCAGTGCAAGAGTGGTGCAAGTAACACAAATAGAGGGGTAAATGATGTTAGACAAATGGTACACATAGGTATCTTCAATTTCGAGCACAATCTCCCCTTTTTTTGTCCTATTCTTAGTAGAAATGTGTCTCACTTCAATAAAAATCTGAAATACAAAAATCCAAGACATAAAATTGGGAATCATTCACTAGAAAAAAGGATTTCTTTGCTGTAAAGTTTAAGACAGACAAGATAGTAAATTTTATGTGTTTTCATCACATTTTTTTAAAAGGGCTATATATATAGGGGTTAAAAATTTTAGCAACACAGTAAGATTAAAAAACACAGAAACAAACCTCCAGAGGTAGTCTGTTTATAGGAAGTATAGAGTCCTCTCCTTTTTTCATACAAATACCTAGCATGCCATAAACTCTTATCTTGCTAGATTTAGTTTTCTCTTAACAAGACCTCAGAGATTGCTCCGTATCTGTGTATGTCTGTGTGTGCACTTGTGTATGAGAAGGTGGGTATTTCTTTCTAACTGCTATAGAATACGGTGCTATCCACCGTATCAACTAGTCCCTTATCAACATACAGTAAGGTATTTTTCATCATAATGTGTTAAAAGGCTTTGCACACCAATTTTTACACATTTTCCCCCTCAACAAAAATGTTCAGATTTCACCCTTCATAATACTTTCAAGAAACTGTGCTGTGTGCTAAGTCGCTTCAGTCACGTCCAACACTGTACGATGCATGGGACTGTAGCCCGCCAGGCTCCTCTGTCCACGGGATTCTCCAGGCAAGAATCCTGGAGTGGGTTGCCATGCCCTTCTCCAGGGGATCTTTCCAACCCAGGGATTGAACCCACATCTCTTATGTCTCCTGCATTGGCAATCGGGTTCTTTACTACTAGCACCACCTGGGAAACCCAACTATGAATGATAACTGACATTTGCTTTAGTTTGAATTTAACAGTGCTTCACTTAGGCTCATCTCTACTAGGTTGTATGTTATGGTTGTCACAAGCAATCACCAAAGATGTGACTGATGAACAAATGGAATACACACACCATCCTCTGAATAATTTGTTCATACTTCATTCTATCACCTATCTTTATAAATGGTTTGTCAATGATACAGCAGTCCTTCCTTATCCGTGTGGGATACATTCCAAATCTTGGAACCATGGACAGTACCGAACCCTATATATACTATGTTTTTTCCTATGGCATGCACAGCGTAGGTATGCTGAACTAAAGGGTGATTCATATCCTGGACAGGAAGGAGAAGGATGGCACAAGATTTCATCACATTACTCAGAACATGCAATTAAAAACTTATGAATTGTTTATTCCTGGAATTTTCCATTTAATATTTTCAGACCTAAAGTAACTGAAACTGCAAAAAGCAAAACCTCTGATAAGGGGAAACTACTTCTACCTTTTACTGTTTAATGATCAGAAAATTAAAAATATACATACATACATACATACACACACACACACTCATTACCTAAGTAATTTTTTCTGAAAACACCTCCTTTGGGACTTCCCTGGTGGTCCAGTGGGTAAGACTCCGAGCTCCCAATGCAGGAGGTCCAAGTTCAGCACCTGATCAGGGAATGAGATCCCACACACTGTAACAAAAAAAAATCCCATATGCCACAAGGAATATGGAAGATCCTGAGGCTGCAACTAAGACCCAGCACAGCCAAATAAATAAAGTATTAAAAAAATAAAAAGAAATAAAAAGAAAAAAAGAAAAACACCTCCTTCACTTCAGAGTCTCTGAGTCTGCTATTTGGTGTCTTTTAGAGAAAGTACAGTGAGACAGAATGACTGAGGGCTCTACAGACTCACAGGGTTTGAATCTCAGTTATTCCAAATTAATCCACTTCTCAGAGCCTCTGGTTTGTCATCTGTAGACCAAGGGCAATGCCATGTATCTCCCACATAAGGAAAATCATACAGGGTGAAAAATCCATTCAAGAGGACCAAAGTACTTTCTCTATTGAATTAGAACTGCCTGGGGAAGTCTAGGAATTGCTCAGAGAAGCAGTAAGCAACAAGAAGGAATGATCAGTCAATGAGAGAAAGGGTGCCTCTGGCAGAGGTAATAACACACATGCCAAGGGTAAGAACTGTGCAGAGCCACAAAGTACCAACACAGGTACTAATAAGAAGGTGAAAGGCAATTTAGTCAGCATGTCCTTATTGAGTACCTCTACACACTATGCACTGAAGACAGAATCATGAGCAAGAAGGTCCCTGCCCTCATGGAGCTTACAGTGTAGTAAGAAAGAAAAACGAGTAAAAAGCAATAAGTGATCCAGTGGAAGCAAACAGGGTGCTATGATAATAATGTTGTGTTGCTTTACATAGAGAGGGCAAAAAAGACCTCCAAAATGAGATAATGCTCAACTGAAACTTAAAGGCAAAGGATAATGAGGTGAAGAACAGGGTAAACAGTTTTCTAGGCAAAGGCCCTGAAGCCAGAGAACTGAAAGCAGGTGATGATGCATGCAGGAGGTAAGGGGAAGAAGGGCTTGAAATGAGACTTGAAATACAGGGAGGGACCAGATCTTACTAGGCCTTGTAAGCCACAATTTGAGTCAAAATGTGCAAGACTTTATTCCAACCTGAGACATCTGGACTTGACTGTATAGGTAACACGAATGCAACAAGGGATTTAAAAGGAGAGACGAGGCTGGGTTGTTTTATAAAAGGACAGTAAAAGCTTTTCAGAGGATGGCTGCCAATAGGGAGTGACAACAGCTTGGAGACCAAAAGACAGACTACATTAGGGCACGGTCACTGTGTACAGAGAAAGAAGCATCCCAGAGGCAAATCTGAAGTGTAGTTGGCAGCCTTCAAACTCTATGTTCCATCCTGCTTTCTCAGTCCAAAGCCTAAGTCCCCAGTATATTCCAGAGCTACTGACCTGCAATCTACCGGGTCATTAAGGCCCTTTTACCAGGTAGAGTCTGCCTCACTGGGAATGTGTGCCTACCACCAGCAATGAGAAGATGAGGTACACAGAAACAGTTATCCACTGTCCCCACTGGATGACAGGTGACAGTCTAAGGTTCCTGGGACCTCAGGATCCAAGTAAAGGGTTCAAATCCTTTTCTTTCCCCTTTAGGGAAGGGGTAAGGGGAAGGTGGTCAAAAGAGTCTTCTAAGTCAGAGTTTCTCCAAATATGGTCTGTAGATAATGACTGGTGTCAGAGTCACCTAGAAGGCCAATCAAAATGCAGATTCCTGGTTACCACCCATACCAATTTAATCAGGATAGCAGGAGTAAAGACCAGGAATTTGCCTTTTTAATTTTATATTGGAGTACAGCCAGCCGATTAACAATGTTGTGACATTTCCGGGTGCACAAGACAGTGACTCAGCTGTACATATATATATGTGTCCATTCTCCCAGGAATCAGCATTTTAAGTAAGTATCCAACTCCTCAACACTTGCCTCCATGGGTAATTCTGGTACATTAAAGCCTCAAAACCACAGCTCTAGGAATAGGGCTAATAGAGGAAAGCTGACTGGCAATGTCAAAACCAAGGGACCGCATACAGCCAACACTCAAGCTGGGCAGGAAATAAAGTAAAAAAGGAGTCAGAAGGGCTTATGAAATTTGAAGACTTTGGGGAAAGTGGTGTTGGAGAAGACTCTTAAGAATCCCTTGGACTGCAAGGAGATCCAACCAGTCCATCCTAAAGGAGATCAGTCCTGGGTGTTCATTGGAAGGACTGATGCTGAAGCTGAAACTCCAATACTTTGGCCACCTCATGTGAAGAGTTGACTCACTGGAAAAGACCCTGATGCTGGGCGGGATTGGGGGCAGGAGGAGAAGGGGATAACAGAGGATGAGATGGCTGGATGGCATCACCAACTCGATGGACATGAGTTTGAGTAAACTCCGGGAGTTTGTGATAGACAGGGAGGCATGGCGTGCTGCGATTCATGGGGTCGCAGGGTGGGACATGACTGAGCAACTGAACTGAACTGAAAGCAGAAAATAGAAGGCAGGACATCAGAGCATGGAGATTAGAGAGCAGAGGAGTCAAAGACAGGTAGAACTCTTGGGGCAATCACTGACGATGGCCATGATCTCCAGCTGCCTTAGGTTGGGTTTTCCCAGGAAGCACTAGGAGGGGAGTGCAGAAGATTCATCTCACACAGACCAGCTGCCTGGGCCTTGGATGTATGTGCATACAATCACTCCATTCAACCATCATAAAGGGGACAACACCCCTAATCAGTAAGTACTGTTTCTATCCCAGTGATTCCCCTTCAGTATCCACCATGATGCCAGCTATTGGTCAGGCTGTAGAAGAGCATCAGGCTACACAGAAAAACAAACAGAACACCTCTAAAGGGTAATGACTAGCCCTACTCACCAAGATTCCTTACTTGGCACATCCGAGCCCTCTAACATTGCCATAAACTCTAAGACAACTCCAGGTAAGACACTTTGAAGCCCACTGCCTTCAACCTTCAGATCTTACCATCCATGCACACCCAGCCAGCCTTTCACTACTCTTTACTAGGCCTCACCAAGGGAGTCCCACCCTGTATTCTACACTCCCATGTCCCTCCTCAAACTTCAGAGAGAAATTCCACAGATTCAGGTTAGGCAGGAAGTCCTGAACTCCTGAGGCTAACTCCTATGCTCAACTTGAAGGGAGGAGGTAGCCTGAAGGAGTGCTCCCCATACCTGAAGGGAGTACCCTCAGCCTACCAGAAGGGAGCACTGAGACTGCTGAAGGCTTCTGGACAGGAAACAGTAAAAATATGAGCGAGCTGGGCCTAATACATTTAAAAGAAGGGAAGGTAAGCTCCTGGGAGCAGAAATTAAAGCAGGGGCAGGGTGAGGTAAGATAGGATTTCTGGGGATTTGACTTTAAATAGTATATAAAACACAAAGCAATACAAAATTTAGTTCAAACTTTTATGTGTTAACTACCTGATCCTTCCTATAATCCAACAGCTGGTTTTACACTAAAGAAGTAACAATGCTAGAAGATAATTTTAGTAATCCCAAAGATTATTTATGGCTTTAATCCTGAACTGCTTGCCCTGTCCCTTCTTACACTCCACCCATGATCCAGATTCTCTAGGTTTTTCACCTAATGATTCAGCTTTCAACTTCATCCTTGCCTCATCTTATTATCCCTAAGGCCTTTTGCTTCCTTCCTTGCTTGCTTAGGACTGCACTCCACTCTCAGCGATTCTGCCATCAAACACTCAAATAATCCACCTATTCAGATCCTGAACCTTGATCCTAGGTACTCATGCCCCCTTCATGGCCAAGTCCCCTTGGCCATGGCCAAGGATCGATAGGAGATACCCAAGCAGTGGCAGGGCATTTAAAGAAGCATGTTCGAGGCAGATTAAACAGCCTATGTAATGTCCCTACAGCAACAAAGCTTAACTGAAGAGACGGGATGAGGTGGGGAGGTCAAGGTAGAGAGTACACTATGGCAAACGATGCTGGAGAGACCAAGGATGGTCTTGTAAGACAAATGAAGCTCTTTTATCATTCTCTTAACAAGTATTCACTGAGTGCTTACAATGTGCCAGCCACTCTCCTGTTTTACTGCTGTAAATAAAACAGACAATATTCCTATTCTCAGAGAACTGACATTCCAATTGGTGGCAACTATAAACGAATATGTGACTACACTAGAAAAATATCACTTATTAGCAAGTGCTATGTAAAGAAATAAATAGGTGATGTCTGGAATGTACGTATATAAGTGGCTATTTCATAATCATTAGGTGGTCAGGGGAAAGCCTCTCTGAAGAGATGACATTTAGAAGTAGGTATCCAGGGACTTCCAGGTGGTCCAGTGGTTAACACTCTGCATTTTCAGTGCAGGGGGTGTAGGTTCAATACCTAGTTGGGGAACTAAGATCCCATATGCCACATGGCACAGTCAAAAATTTTTTTAAATAAAAAAAAAAAAAAAGTAGGTGTATCTAAATAAAAAGGAATGAGCCATTCAAAAATCAAGGGAAAAAGCACTCTAAGTGTGGTAACAGTACACACATGCAGAGGAGTTAGATCATGATCATTCTTACATTTTATAAAGATCACTCTGGCTGCAGTGTGGAGAATGGAATGGAGGTAGAGGAGAATAAAATCAAGACTGGAGACAGAAATGAAAGTGGATACATTAAGAGGAAGCAGCAGCGGCGAGTAACAATGATAATAGCTAATACTCACACAACACATTCTAGGTGCCTATCCACTGTTCTAAGCATTTTACATACATTAATTCATATAAATCCTCGCAAATATTGTATTTTATAAATTAGAAAGCTAAAGTACAGGACAGTGGCAAGGATGAAGAAAGCAACTGGATCCAAGAAATACTGGGGAGGACAAGTCCTACGACAGGCTGGCTGTCAGCTCTGGGAAGGGGAGGGAGGACCTAGAATGACTACTAGGGCTTTGGGCCCAGCAACTGCATGGGTGGTGGTGCTATTTACCACGTGACAGGACACTGGAGGAGGAGCAAGAGGGGAAGAGCAGGAGCTGCATTCTGCTGAGTCTTCAAAACGTCCCAGTGAAGTTGTCCGTGTGAACAATTGGATAGTCTGGTCTGGAGAGAGATCTGGGCATCATCCATGTGCAGATGGTAACTGAAGTGGTCAGAGAGGCTGAGACCACCTAGAGAGTGTAGGAAGAAAAGAAAAGGAAAAAAAGGGCCTAGAAACAGAATGCTGACTTTTAAACCACAAAAAGTTCAATAAAAAATAAAAATTTTTAAACTACATAAGAAAAAAGAAAAACCAAAAAAAGTTTTAAAAAGGACAAAAAGAATCACTGACAAGAGAAAATTAGAAATACCTTAATGTCCCTCAATAGGAAAAAAGGTAAATAAAACAGAATACATCTAGTCTATGAAATACTATACGGCAGCCAAAAAGAATGAGACCTGTCTTCATGTACCAATATGGAATACTGTCAAGGCACATTACTGAATCAAAGAAAGAAATACATGAATGATACATAAAATGTGACCCCATTTGTGTAAGTAAATAAAACACAAACATAGCACTTTAAATTTTTTCTGGGTTCATACATATGTATGAAAACACAAAGTCTGGGAGGTACATTCTAAACTGAACAGGTTGCCTCTGGGAATATAGAAATAATTGAAATAGGGGAGCAGGAGTATTTAAAATACCCATAATGTTTTGAAATTAACAGTTTTCAATATACTCATATTTTAATTCACAACAGAAAAAGGGGCTCCAAAACTGGAAATTCATACTTGTGTAAATCGTGGAAGATTTTAAATGTGGTATTATTTTGACAATGTTTTAAATTTTAGTCACATTTTACTCTGATGAGAATTTTTATCAAGATGTTGAGTTTTTGTTTTTTGAAACTAGTCTGTCGTAACATATAGTACATAATCATAGTATTTATTTTCTAACACTACTGTGAATGTGTAGACTTAAATTTACTGCTAAGAGAACAATTATTTGTAAAATAATATTAAATCCAGTATTAGCTGTCTATTTCAGACACTACTTGCAGAGATCTTTGTTACATTTTTTAAGGAATCACCCTCACTGTTGAAAGTAAATGTACTCTTCGTTTTGGTGCAGCTATTAGTGTTCTAATAAGCATGAAGTTATAAGGTGGTGGCAGCAGGAGGATAATTTTGATTCCACTGGGAAACTTAGGTTTTCATAAACTTATTGGGAAAATAGTTTTCCTTGTGCTGGTGAAGTTTCTTTTTGCTATAGTATCTTTCTAAAAGAAAAGTGTGAAGGAGAAATTGAAGTCTGTACCTTTCCTCAAATGACCAGCATTGTATTCATGAATACTGTGTATCTTCCAATGAACAGTGTGGAAGCTGTTCATTTTCCAATCTCAAGTAAAAATACTTTCAAAAACTTTTTAAAAAACCTACATGTTTTGATATTCTTAGATTATTATATTGTCTATAAAAGTAAAGGTCGATTTTTAAAAAAATAATGGGAATTCTTATACCTTCTTCTCAATTTTGCTATGAACCTAAAACTGATCTAAAAAAAATAACTCAGTTTTGAAATGCTGGAAAAGAGGGAGCCTACAAAGGACATCCTTTACTTCAAATACTAAACTTTCTGTTTCTTCCACCCTCAACTGGCCTTGATGTTTAAATCTTCCCGGCTTGCCATCTCTCCATGTCTTGAGAAGTTAACACCAAGCCCCCTAATTCCATGCTCTAGCCTGAATCCTTGGCCCCAGACCAAGTCTAGCCACAGATCCCCTAGACGGGGCCAGAACCCCTGGAGGAGGGTGAAACGCCTAAGTCCTAAACAAATATGAGAGAATGAGTGTGAAGATGCCAGCTTCAAAGACAGGGATCAGGTGGCCGTGCCGGCCAGCAACAATCTCAAAACAGAAAAGGTACTTGAAGATCTGGAAACAGCTCTGCAGTGCTGGGGGATGAGGCTGGGGGACAGTCAGACAAAATCAGGGGATGCTGATTTTGCTGGTGTGAGACAAGCTGGAGATCGTCAGTTCCACTCATGAAGGTACCAAGCGAAGTGCAACAATATGATGGAAACCACATTCACAAAAGGAAGAGGGGAAGCTGCATTCTATGAAGGGGCTGGGGCATGGTGAAAGGTTGTCTAGGCATATCTAGAGGAGTCACTGCAGATCACAGCAGCAATTCCAGGAGGCACAGCATGAAAGTTCAGAAAATTTCTGGAACAGCAGAAAGAGACCAGGGACTTGGCTCCTTCCCGAAAAGAAAGTTCTACAAATGAGGAGCTAGGACACTGAAATAAAGCCTTTCCTTCTTCAATAAACCAAAGGCAGAGAAATCATGATAGATCTCTGGTGACTGTGCTCTTAACTTCCTAAGGATGAAAGACGATATATTTGGTCTACATGTTTTCCTGGCTACCCAAAGAGATGACACTGCCTAGGTCTTACCCAATAGCTGACTCACCATCAATTAGTCTCTATCACAGCCTGCTGTGCCTCACGCATCACAGTCACATACCGGACAACTCTGAAAAGAAAACAATCTGGTGTGAGCTGTCAAAGTCCTCTCGGTACCTGACCTCACCCTCTGGGGTAGGTTTCATTTCAAAACTGAAAGGGACTGAAGGGTTGGGGAAATCCAAAGATCAACAGAGCTCAAGAACAGGTGGTTCCCAGCAGAAAAGGGTACCATGCTGGAATTCAAAACAGAAACCAGGCCACAGATAAGGCAGTTTATAATGCCTGTCTCCAAGCCTTCAGATGCCATTTATACATTTTCCAATATTTACAACAGAGAATGACCATGATAATCCTACTTCTGACAACTAAACAGATAATTCTCCAAGTATTCAAAAAATTTCTTGGCTTTATTAAATTTTAGAGCTTTGGGGTATCTCCAACAGCTAGGGTATTGGGGGGATTTCTGAATTCTGCAGTCATTCACATGGGCCACACTTTAACAGTAAAGAATTCTATCACCTCCTCTTCCTTCTTCATCCCCTCATGAACCCTTGGAAAAACTCGTCCCACTAAAAAATCACCAATCAGTTCATGATGGCTCTCTCACTACAGCAATATTCAATACAATGAAAGTGTACCTCATTGAAAGAGTCAGTTTATTTTCTTGAGCTTCATTTTAACTACCTGAATGACCCTTAGGTAAGTCACTTAACCTTTCTGGGCTCAGTTTCTTCATCTACAAAGTAAGAGGGTTGGGAACAGACACAAGGAAAGCAATAAAACTTCCCTTAACTGAGAAAAAACAGTTTTTTAAGTCTAAAAGGTTCATCAAGTAGCAAGCAGAGTTTCTTTTTTTAAATATCATATCTAAGTCTATCATGATAAAACACTAAGCATGAAGAAAAAAACTAACTTTCAAAGAGAAATGGCTATTACTTACAAAGGGAAAAGGATCCTATTGACACTGGACTTTTAATCTCAATCACTAGAAATTAGACAATAGAAAGCTGTATACTTTGTAGTGTGTGTGCCCAGTTACTCAGTCTTGTCCAACCCTTTGCGACCCCATGGCCTGTAGCCCACCATGCTCCTTGCACATGGAATTTTCCAGGCAAGAATACTGTAGTGGCTTGCCACTTCCCACTCAAGGACATATTCCTGACCCAAAAGTTGAATCCACGTCTCTTGCATTGGCAGGCAGATTCCTTACCACTGCACCATCTGGGAAGCCACACTTCGTAGAGACTAGGACTAGTATTCAAGAATCTTTAAAAAAAAAAAAAAAAAAAGAATCTTAAACCTAGCTAACATCATTCACACATGAAGATACAAGATACACACACACACAAAGTAAATAAATAAATGGACCTTGAAAATAGCATCTAGGCCCCTTTTCTTAAAAAAAAAAAATCACTCAAAGTGTCCTAGTCAAATTAATATTTAAGGAACTTCTTCCCTGGTGGTCCAGTGGTTAAGATTCCATGCTTCCACTGCAGGGGGCACAGATTTGGTCCCTGATATAGGAATGCTGGGCAGCGCAGCCACCCCCCTCCGTAATATTTAAAATTGAATCAAAGCTGAGAAAGACAAAAAATATGTGAGACATGTTTCTTCTCCCCCCATGCAAAACCATTTAGTGAAATTTACTAGGTGACTTCTTTCTGATGGTGTTTCCAAGTACAAACAGAAACTGTCCTGTACACAACCCTCCCTGACAGTCGGGTTTGCGAGTTGCTCATCACCTAGTGGCCTGACAAAGTAAATGCAGTTTCATCAAGTGCCCGGATAAACTTCCCGACATTTTGTGATCTCTGGCAGTATATACGGGGGCCACAGCCTGATGGCCTAGAGATTCTGAGTGGAGAATTGCAAACCTGCCAGACTCACAGTGAATTGAATAGATTCAGTTCACTATCCATTCGTGCTCCAAGAATGTGGGAACGGCCCACATTTTGTGCTAACTAATCACAAGAAGTGCAAGGCTGCACTTGCAAACAGTGACAGAGGCAGACTGCTTTTGTGCTGACCAATCTGAACTGAAAGCAAGCTTAGATGCTATGAGAAAACTGCAAATATTCCTTATTAATAGGAAGAATGTCTTCAAATATTCTCACAATTGGATATGGAAGATACAGGCTATAACCGATGAGAACACATAGCAATTAGATTTCAATTCAAAACAAGAAATAATTTTCTACCAAAAAGAGCTATTCAACAATATAATGGAGGAAACCACAAAGAAAATGAAAAGATAATCTACAGAATAGGAGAAAATATTTGCAAATAACACATTCGACAAGGGCTTTATTGGCAAAATACACAAACAGCTCACACAACTCAATGACAAAAAAACCAACCACCCAATCAAAAAATGGGCAGACCTAAACAGACATTTGTCCAAAGAAAACATACAGATGGCCAATAGGCATATGAAAAGATGTTCAACACTGCTAATTATTAGAGAAATACTCTTTGCAACCCCATGAACTATACAGTCCATGGACTTCTCCAGGCCAGAATACTGGAGTGAGTAGCCTTTCCCTTCAGGGGATCTTCCCAACCCAGGGATCAAACTCAGGTCTCCCACATTGTAGGCGGATTCTTTACCAGCTGAGCCACAAGGGAAGCCCAATTATTAGAGAAATACAAATCAAAACAATGAAGGGACTTCTCTGGTGGTCCAGTGGTTAAGAATCTGCCTTGCTATGCAGGGGACAGCAGTTCAATCCCTGGTCAGAGAACTAAGATCCCACGTGCCCCAGAGAAACTAAGCCTGTGTGCTGCAACTAGAAAGCCTGTGAGCCACAGCTACTGAGCCCACACACCGCACCAAACGATCTCACATGACACAGCAAAGATCATGTGTGCCCCAACTAAGACCCAGTGCAGCCAAAGAAATAAATACTTTTATTTAAAAACTACAATGAAGAATTACCTCACATGGGTCAAAATGTGCCATCACTAAAAAGGTCTACAAATAACAAATGCTGGAGAGAGTATGGAGAAAAGGGAAACTTCCTACACTGTGACTGGGAATGTAAATTGGTGCAGCCACAATAGAAAACAATTGGAGGTTCCTTAAAAAACTAGAGTTGCCGTATTATTCAGCAATCCTACTCTTGGGCATATATTCAGAGAAAACTCTAATTCAAAAATATACAGGCAACTGAGTTCCAGCTGAAGGGGAATGAGGTTAAGTAAGAAGGTCTCTCTCTATACCATGGCTCATAAAAAGCAGACAGCCTGCAAATTCACTTGTGGTAAAGCACCAAGGAAGCAACTGGCCACAAAGCCTCTAACAAAGAGTACGCCCTCTATTGCAAGGGTGAAGAAATCTCATTACAGGCCTGGTATTGCAGCACTCCATGAAATCAGAATTATCAGAAGTCCACTGAACTCCTGATTCACAAACTTTCCTTCCAGTGTGGGAAGTTGCTCGGGACTTCAAAACAGATCTGCACTTCTAGAGTGCAGCTACTGGTCCTTTGAAAGAGGCAAGTGAAATCTATCTGTGGTCGACTGTTTTGAAGACACCAACCTGTGTGTTATCCATGCCAAACATGCAACAATTATGCCAAGTGACATCCAGCTAGCACGCCACATACGTGGAAAACATGCTTAAGCATCCACTCTGATGGGAAATATTCCATTCTTTAAAAATATTTTTTCCTCTTCTTCCTATTATTGGTAGTTCTTAACATTAGATTTTTTTTCTCCATGGGGTCAAAAAGTACCTAAGTATATGTTTGCAAGTGGAAAAACAGAGTACAGAAATCAGGTATTGGCAGTTTTTCCATTTTCATTTCTGTGTGAATTTTTAATACAAACGCAGGGACATAAAGGCATTAATGCAAGTCAAAATGTTTCAGTGAACAAGTTTCAGCAGTTCAACTTTATAACAATTATAAATAAACCTGTTAAATTTCTCTGGACGATGAAAAAAAAAAAGATACAGGCACCTCAATGTTCACAGCAGTACTATTCACAGTAGCCAAGACACAAAAACAACCTAAATGCCCATCAATAGACAAATATATGTAAGTAATATATATACAGTGAAATACTACTCAGTCATTAAAAAACAATGAAATAATGCCATTTGCAGCAACATGGATGGACCTAGAGACTATCGTACTAAGTGAAGTCAGAAAGAAAAACACAAACACCACATGATATCACTTAACATGTGGAATATAAAATCTGATACCAATGAATTTATTCACAAAACAAAAACAGACTCACACACATAGAAAACAAACTTATAGTTACCAAAAGAGAAAACAGGTAGAGGAAGGATAAATAAAGAGTTTGGGACTAGCAGATACAAACAACTATATATAAAACAGATTAACAACGTGGTCCTACTGTATAGCACAGGACATACTCAATATCCTGTAATAACTATAATGAAAAAGAAAAAAAATACATATATAATTAGATTCCCTGAGAAGTGATGAGCTTCCCAGGAACAGAACTATTCAAAAATAATTTAAATGATCACATCTGTCAGGGGACTATAGAAAGCAATTCTGTAACTGAATGGCAGACTGGAGACAAGGAGACTGACTATATTACCTCAAAGGCCCTTTCCAATGCCAAGAGTCTATCATTCTAAATAAGGCAAACAAATAAAACAAAAACCACTAATAAGCAACTAAACAATTTTTCCTTTGCATTTTTTTTCAAGCTCCAACCAAGAAGCCAGCACAATTTCATGGATGTGGTACCACTTTTCACCTAAGTAAAAGTGGACAAATTATTTAACTCTATTTGCTTCACTCTTAATGTCTATAAATTTAGAACCCAAATAATAGCACCCATCTCATATGATTTCTAAGAAGATTAAATAATCTGATAGTTTATAAAGTACTTAAAACAATGCCTAACATAGAAACTGTATAAAACTAGCAGCTAGCTGTGGGGAATGGGGGTGGAGGGGTGCAAAGTGAAACCTAAATGTGCTGCTTGCTTTAGTTATCTGTTCCCCACTCTAAACCAAAGAATTCCTGGTTGTCGCTGGCCAGAGGCTAAGTTCCCTTGGCAACCAGCTTCAAAAAAAGAGCTCCG